GCTCCTGAGCGGCTGCAGCTGCGGCTCCCACCAGGAGCTTGTCCTGGCACATCTCATCATCCAAAGCTCTGCTTCCACCAGCCGGGGCCTGAACTTCCCGAAATATTGATGGTTTAAAAGCCTCACAGCAGCCCCAGATCCCAGAAAAATCCGGGATTGGATGGGGAGGTGGAGTCAGTCTCCCTGGAACCCAAATGGGAGATGATGGGAATCCAGATGGGAGATGGTCACCTGGTGCTCATCATGAGGTCATTCCCACCTTGGGAGTGAGACACAGATTTATAAAGGATTTTTTAGGATTTTTTTAGTATTATATTTTTAGGATTTTTTTTTTTAGTTTTGTATATTTGTATGTAAATTTGTATGTAAATTTTTATATAAATTTTAATGTAAATATTGAGATGAGGTGTGTTGATTCAGGAAGGTTGTGGAATAGAGGTGGTATTGTTGAGAGAGAGACTAAGTAAAAAAAAAGCTTTAATAAATTTTAAATATAACTTTTTAAAAAGATTAGGTATTTTAGAGAATTAGAGTTGTAAAAGATGTAGTAGGATTACGTGGGGTAAAAATATAGGTGATTAGTATTAAAATAATAGTACTTTTGTGTAGTAAAAGTTGATAAGTTGAAAAATATTTATAAAGCATTGTAACTAAGAAATAAGTCAGTGTAACTAAGAAATAAGTCAGTTTTTGACAGAATAGTGTTGAGTTTTACATCTGTAATGTCTCACCTTTCATGGAGACTGATAATAGAATAAAATCTTTTAAAATGCTAAGAAAAAAACCCAAAATGTGGTGGTCTCCAGTGCCTATTTCATATGGAGCAATTCCTGACAAAAACCAGCAGCAGGACACACACTCAGCTGGAATATTTGCCTTCCCTTCCCTCCTTTCTCCTCCTGGGAAGAGAAGAAAGCTCTGGGCAGAAATAGGGAATCCTGGAGCTCCCAAAAACTCGGGATGGGTTGGACCTCATAGCTGTGGGAGCTTCCTCAGGTCCATGGAGGGAGACCCCAAATCTATCCCACTTAATTCAACACTTGACCATAAGAATTATTTTATTTTATTTTATTTTATTTTATTTTATTTTATTTTATTTTTTTTTTTTTTATTTTTATTTTATTTTAATTAAATTGTGGAGTTTCCTGTATTTGGATCCATATCAGCCAGGATTCATCTTGGTCCAGGTCCTCAGGACCACATCCCATCTCCAGGGATGGAGACTCCAAACCTCTCCTACTTGATCCAAATTTTGACAATCTGCCCCATAAAAGGATTTTATTATTATATTATATTATATTATATTATATTATATTATATTATATTATATTATATTATATTACTATTTTATTATTTTATTTTATTGTGGAATTTTCTTTATTTGGATCCGTATCAGCCAGGGTTCACCTTGTCAGGTGGCTCAGGTCCATGTCCAGTTTACAGGGACGGAGACTCCAAATCCCTGGACATCTTGATCCAACACTTGACCATCCTCCCCATAAAAATATTTAATCTAATGGTTTTTATTTTAATTTAAAGTGAAATTTCCTGTACTGGGGTCCCCATCAGCTGGGATTCACCTTGGACAGGTGGCTCAGGACTCTGTCCAGTCTCCAGGGACAGAGATTCCCAATCTCCAAGGACATCTCAACTCATCCACCTGACCACCGTCCCCATAATTTATTTTATTTTTAAGTGGAATTTCCTCTCTTTGGGTCCATACCAACCAGGGTTCGTTTTGGCCATGGAGCCAAACTCCCACTTTATGGGATGCCCCAATTTTTGGGATGGTTCTCCCTGAAACCAGGAGGCCACAAGGCCTTCAAAAGAGCAGCAGATGAAACACGACATCAAAATCTGGGAGCTCCAGCCCTTTTTGATCCAGAATTCTACAAAGGAGACACAGGGATGTCATTTTTTGTTTAGTTTTGTTTTATTTTGGGATCACAAAATACACAACATTCATTTTAATATGGGACACAGAATATTCTGTACATATTAAAACCCACATGACTGCAACACAACCGCACACGGCACCAATTCTCGAACGAAAAACCCCACAAGTGCTTTTTTCCTTTTTTTTTAATATTAAAAACAAATAGGATAAAACATTAATATTTTTTCCCAGACGACGTTTACAATAGAGGAAAAAAAAACCATATTTTTACTAAATAACAAATATTTAACAGCACAACTTTATCCTAAATATCTATTTTTGAATTATAACAAAAATAGCACTTATAATAGTTTATAAAGACAGACCAAAAAAAAAATTTGTGTATAAAATAATATTATAGCAAATTGGACTGTGCTAATTAAAAACAAACAAAAAAAAAAATCTGAGATTCAAAGTGCTTTATTCTGCAAACCCACTGCAGCAACTTTATTTTTTTAGTCAAGTTATATTAGTTAGGACTGGAACAACAAAGCCTGGCTTACTTCAGCCTGGATTAAATACTCCCCCACACAAACACCGTATACCCACGGGATGTCAATGGGATTTCAGGGATGGCTGCAGCTCTCATTCCCATCAAAACTCACTCCAGAGCAGGTTTGGTTCTCACTTTGGAACAACAGTGGAAGTTAAAATTAAAATTTCAGAGAAGAATCCTTCCCTGATTCCCCGTGAAAAGATGGACGGAGCCCTTCCAGAAAAGTCTATCCAAGAGATTTTGCCCGTCCATCCAAGGGATTTGTCTTTAACCAGACCTTCCATCCTGGCTGTCCATCCCCCTCTCCAGCCTTTCCCTTTCCCAGCCCACTCATCCCCAAGCACAGATCCCAGATGGAAACGGGGGCTCCTGGAGGGCACCTGTTGGTTCTCACCCTGCAGCTCATCCACCTTCCATCTCCATTCCCAAATCCTACAAAAACCACGGACACCTCCCTGTGCCTGGTGCCTCTCCTGGGATGTTTGTCCCTAGGAGACTGCCATTCCCACCACATCCAGGTTTGTTTTCCCCTTTGCCCTTTGGGATTTGGATTTCCACCCAGCTCCTTTTGGGAACATTTTCTCTCCATCAGGGACAAGGAAACACCTGGAATCCCAACAGGGCCTGAGCTAGTTGTGTTCCATTTAAAAATTCCAGGCTGGAAAACTCTGAGCCTCTGCTCCAGGGCTCCTGAGACCTTCCTGTGGGGTTTGGCACGTTGGTCACCACCCAGGAATAAGGACAGGATCAGAATGGGAATGCGGAATCCCAGAAGATCAGGAGTTTTATTCCAGCTTGAATCAAGTTGTGCACCCTGGTGGGAGGGACCACCATGCCCTGGGATGCTCTGGGGGGACTTCTGGCAGCTGGGCTGACAGCATTCCAACCTCAAGTGCTTCCCTTGGCTCCAAACCTGTCCCCCTCCTCCTCGCCCCCGCCAGTGCCGCGCCGGCCAGGGCGGCCTCGCCTCCGCTCGCTTCACACTTCCCGCCACCTTCCCGAGAGGCACCTCTTGCCAAAGAGGCAAAGGCACAACCTGCAAAGCCACCTGGTGAGCCACACCTGCCCCTTCTCCTTCCCCTTTCCAAGCCCTCGGACTTCTCTGGAGCCCTTTGGAGCCGACAGCCAAGCTGCCCCCGAGAGCGCCGGATCAGTGCCCGTCACCGTTCTCGGCCTCCTTGTGTCGCCCGTTCCACCTCGGAGGGTTGGGATGGGACAGGAGTGGGGCTGGATGGGCTGGAAGAGCTGCCCCAAGTCACAGAGGGATCTCCCAAGCTGATGTTTGGCTCTGGTTGGAACCCAACATCTGCCCAGGTGCTCGGGGAGCTTTTGCTCTACATCCTCCCAACCCAACTCCTCAAATCTCCAACTCAGCCCAGAAGCCTCCTGCATGCAGAAAACCAAAATAAAATACCCCCCCCAGCAAATGGAAGGCAAGATACCTCTCGGTGGCTGCTGGCTGGTGCTGGAGAGGCTCTGGAATTCTCCTGGGATGCGGGGTGGAAGCTGACACGGAGCCCTCTCCTTCCTGCTGAGCTCTCCCGTGGCCATAAAAACCCCAAACACGAAACAAACAAATGCGCGCGTTGGCTTAATTTGAGAGATCACCTTTAATGCAAATGCCCCGGCAGGAGCAGCCCCCACGTGCCCCCAGAGCCGTGCTGGGGTCGGGGGCTGGTGCCAGCACCTTGAGGGGACAGCAAAGGCACCAAAATGTCCCCAAAGCCGGGGGCTTGTGCCCAGGGCTGGCGGGGGCTGCAGAGGAGGGGGTGCTCACAGGCCGTGTAGCAGCAGCAGGAAACTCAATGAGAGAAAAAACAAAAGGGCATCCCCCTCCCCAGAGCCTCAAAACATCTTGGAAAATGCAAACCTGCCTCTCCCGAGGCCTGGGGGATGACTCAGTCCCGGGCAAGACACCACAGGAGGGGTTTCTTGGAAAGCAAGACGACCCCTCCTCCTCCTCCCCAGCCTGCCCCGGCACCAGCGGGAGACGGGCTGGGAATGGGCAGCGTTGTCTCCCCCCGGCCAAGGAAAGGCTCCAACACCCCAGAACAAACAACACAACCAAACAACTGAAAAAACAAAACAACCAACCAAAAAAAAAAACCCACCTCAAAAAACGCAAAAACACTGTTATCACCAGCTAATTTAACACTGTTAAAAAAAAGAGGTCAGAGGTGACCCCAGAGCTGCCCCGGGACACCAGACCTCGGATCCTCGGCTGATTCCCAAGCCTTTCCCGCAGTCGGGCCTTCTCCTCTTGGCAGCAGAAGTGTTTTATAGATATTTATATATATATATTTATAATAATTAGATACTGTGTATTGTCGGCCATCCCAGCTCGACTCGGCTTTTGCGGATCTTCCTCCTCCTTCCCGACGAAACAAGGCGCCGACACCGCCCCGACCTTCTCCGCGTCCCGCGGGAAGAGCAAAACGCTTCCGGCAGCTTCCCTGCTGGAAAAGCAGTCCCGATCCGGAGGTGAGCGCCGTGGAGAAGCTCCTCTCATGCCTCTCTCCTCCCCTCCTGTCCATCCCCTCGCCCCCACCCACCCCTGCCTCCCCCGGCCGCCCGTCCCTGGTGCCACCGGCGGCGCGGGCTTTACACGGTGGCCCCCAGCATGGCGTCTGTGCCCGTCAGGATCTCGTTCTGGTTGGAATCCAGTCCGAAGAACTTGACCTTGAGTCCGTCAACCGGGTGGACCACGGGCACCAGGGTGATTTTGGGGAAAGTCCTGGTGGCGAGCTCGAAGCGGCTGGTGCTGGCCAGCTCGATGGCCAGGGCCTTGAGGAAGAGCTTGGCCAGGTGCTTGCCCAGACAGGTCCGTACGCCTCCTCCGAAGGGGAGGTAGTGGAACCTGCCCTCCTTGTCTTCGCTCCGGCCCTGCCCGAAGCGGTCGGGGTCGAAGACGTCCACGTCCTTGAAGACGGGAGCGGTGTCGTGGGTGTCCCGGATGCTGTACATCACGCTCCAGCCCTTGGGGATTTGGAAGCCCTGTGGAGAGGCGGGAAGGGGAGGATAGGAGAGCAGAGTGGGTCAGTCCTGCTGGAGAGGGAGCGGGAGCAGGGGGATGAGATAAAGGAATTTTGTTTCCACGGAAGGATGGAATGGTTTGGGTCGGGAGGGACCCTAAACTGATCCTGTCCCACCTCCCTCCATGGGCAGGGACACCTTTCATTACCCCAGGGTGCTCCAAGCCCCATCCAGCCTTGGACATTTCCAGGGATGTGGCATCCACAATCCCTGGGCGATTTGTGCCATCCACAATCCCTGGGCAATTTGTGCACCACCCTCACAGTTTTCCCTGCTTATTCCCATTTCTTTTGGGTTTATCCCTCAAGTGTGATGTAGGTTTAAAGGAAAGCCAGACAGCACAGCACAAAGAGATGCAGATCCTGGCTTTATTCCTCCTGCCATCCCAAGGATTCGTGGGATGACCCATCCATTCATTTACTTTGTGGTCACTGGCAGGAGCTGCCTACCAGGAGCCCCGTGGTGCTGAGCAGGGGAAGCAGCTTCTCCCGTGCCGTGCCCCACACATCTGCCAGCCCTTCCCAGTGCATCCCAAAGGATCCCAGAGGATCCCACAGCATCCCACACCCCGCTGCCTGTCAGCACCACACACCCAACACCCACGTCGGGGCCCGGGCGATGAGAAATGGGGTGGATTTATCATCCCCTGAGCACTTTAAAAGGTCTCTGACTCAAACCACTGCATTAGGAGGATTTACAGCGACAAGGCAGCTCCCGAGATTTTGTTTTGCTGGGAGGAAATTCCAGCCATGGTGGTGACTAATCCGCCTGTCATCCGGCAGCCTGGAGATGCCCTTTGCCGTAAACCTTTCCCCTGTCACACCCCAGCTCAGAGTTTGGCGTCACTGTCACGAGCTGGGCTTTGGAGCATCACACCCGTCTGCTCTCTGACAGCTCCATGCATCCCTTGCTCCACATCCCATCACTGCTGGATCTGGGGCAAATCCCATTGCCGGAATCACAGAATTAATTAGGCTGGAAAAGCCTTGGAGATCATTTAAGTCCAAGCTGTCAGCTAACACCACCTCATCCACTAAACCGTGGCACTGAGCGCCACATCCAGGCTTAAACCCCTCCAGGGATGGTCACTCCACCACCTCACCCCATTCCAATGCCCAACTGCTCTTCCTGGGAAGAACTTTTTCCCTAAATCCAACCTAAACTTCTCCTGGTGCACCTTAAGGCTGCGTCCTGCCACTGATTGCCTGGGAGAAGGACTTAATTAGGCAGGACTTCATTTATCCCCTCAGAGGTCTCCTCTAAGCCTGGCTCAAGCAAGCTGGGCCGTTTTGGGGAGCTCGGGGTGCGGCACTACTCACATCCAGCTCGAAGGTCTGCAGCACCGTCCGGTAGCCCCCGGAGATGGGCGTGAAGAGCCGCAGAACCTCCTTGATGACGCAGTCCAGGTACTGCAGGCCGTTGATGTTGTCGAGGCGCAGGGAGCCCTCGCAGATGCAGCCGTTGTGCAGGATCCCTTTGCTCCGCAGCTCCTCCCGCAGCTTCTCCAGCACCCGCGGGTGTTTGAGGAGCTGCATGATCAGGGAGGTGCTGGCGCTGGCCGTGGTGGCGTAGGCGGCGAAGATGAGCTCCAGGGTGCCGTCCTGGCGGGCAGAGAAAGGGTCAGGGTGAGACACAGGGGTGGCAGACATCTTTTATGAAAAATCGTTTCCTTAGGATTTTTCCTGCTGAGAAGCTGAGAGGCCTCAGGAACAAAATGTAAACATTGATTGTCTGCTGCTGTGGAATGCAACAGGTGCATCTGTGATTGGTCTCATGTGGTTGCTTCTAATTAATGGCCAATCACAGTCAGCTGCTCAGACAGAGAGTCCGAGACAGAGCTTTTGTTATCATTCTTTCCTATTCTATTCTTAGCTAGCCTTCTGATGAAATCCTTTCTTCTATTCCTTTAGTACAGTTTTAATGTAATATATATAATAAAATAATAAATCAAGCCTTCTGAAACATGGAGTCAGATCCTCGTCTCTTCCTTCAAGACCCCTGTGAACACCATCACAGCAG